AAGAAAGACATGAACTATCTTGGTAAATAGATAAAAGTATCAATATGTACAGAAATCTACTGTGGCACATAAACTTCAAATGCAGCTAAAGATAAAGGAAAAAAAAAGGAAAACCACATACAAAGGTATCTTTTTCTTTATGGGCTTAGACTGAAGGTAGACTAACGATGGTGTCATCTGGACCTGTAACATCATGTGTGCCAGAACTAATATTATGTGGAAGTTGTTCAGAGCAATGTAATTCAGATTCAGTGTTGTTTTAGGCAATGTTAACACAGTCCTAACTCACAAGAGAGAGAGAATTAATTTGGTCTGGATCCCATTATTCTCCCTGAGAATATATCTGAGTTGAAATACATTTTTTGATCAAATTCCATATCTGATTTTCAGATGCTAATTTTACAGTCAGATTTACCGACTTGCAGTCCTAGTTTGCCTCATATTTTTAGTAAAACTAGGGCTTTGGAGGGGCTAAGCTAAAGCTTGGGGGCTTTCCAAAGTTTTTTAAAAAAACCCCAACAGTTCCTTTTGTTTCTGTTCAGTCTGTTGCTTTTCCCATCTGCTGGAGCATTTACCATCTCACAAGAGCTTGTACTCCAATCCTTGGATTTGGTGTTTACCTTCCTGTTTCCTGCGTAACTACTTTGCCTTTTTGGAATAAGGCAGTTTTACATCCTACTGCTGTATTTTCTTTAGATCATTGTTTCCTAAAGCTACTGAAGCACTGAAAATGTCCACAAGGACAGATTTCATTAAAGGGCAGTACATGGGTTTAATTGTAACTAAAATAAGACAAATTGACACTTCTTTTGTCATCTCTATGCAGTAGGCATTTCTCCAAATTCCTTGGGCATCTTGGAATGTCAGTTTATTAAACTTGACTCAAAAAAGAATTCTAGGGCACTATTTTGCAAAGGATGTGTTATTAGTGAGTTGGCACCAAGAATCATAAAATATAAAGGTTCCCAACTTTGTTTATTAAAATAAACTGAATATACAGGCTCTTCAGTAGTAAAAATTTTCTCCTATTTTCAAAAGGAGTTTCCTATGACCAGGACTGGATAGAGTAATGATAAATGGATGGGGACAGTGCAATGGCATTTCTGTTTTCTCATCCCATGATCTCAGAAGCACTATTTGGTTGTTGGACCTCTCACCTTGTCCTTCAACATTCCTCCTTCAAGTATCTACATTGGATCAGAAAAGTCAACCAGACAAATCACAGCCATTTGTAATTCCATGGTGAGCACTTCTGAGCTGGAAGCATAAAATACCTCGAAGTATTCATGGCTCAGGCCAACAAGAAAGACTGCTCATAGTCCCCATAGTTTCTAGGGCTTAATATCCTGGCACACTTCCAGCATGTGTCAGATTTTACAAATGTATTTAAGGAACAGCTTTCAGCCAAAGGTTATGGAGTAAGAGTCCTGTAACTTCTCTGCTGCCATGATGTGTCTGAGCAGAGCATCACCACAGCCAGCTGGCCATAGCCAAGAGAGGCAGATGGAATGAATATAGCAATGCTGCCATGAACTGCAGTGATGAACACAGGTCAGGAGCAGAGAAGGCCCTATTCTGCACATGGAACCAGGACACTTTTTAAATTAAAAACAAATAATAAAGTGGGGATTTTCTAATCTTCCAATTATTTAGGCGATCATATGCATTCACTAATTATCACATAGCTGGTGGCAGGAATTAGGATGAAGTAGAGGTTTTTTAAAATAGTAATATTTTAAAATAATCATACGTCTTTTAAATAATAAAAAGTAATCATTATGTTAAAATAATAATCTTCTAAAAATCCAAAATAACTAAGTTTTTTCCTTGCTGCTAAGTACTTGTAAGTAGGACATTAGTAACTTGCTATTTGTTTACAACAGTAGTCTGATAAAAGATAACTTTTAGCTGAACTAAGAGAATACAAAAACCTCTGAAAAACAATCCTTAAATAAAGTCTGTCCATACAACGGTATGACATTAGCTAAGTAATCCATGTCCTGCCAGTGTATTACCTCAACCTGTTCTTCACTTGTCACAAGTAGTAAAAAAGGTCTTTGTCTTGTGCAAATAAAAAGGCATTTGAGCATTTCTAAGTAAAACTTTGAGAGAAAAAATATTTGCTTAAGACAAACAACTGTTTCGTGACAGACCTATTTTGGGGGAAAAGAATGTAAAAATCTAACCAATGTGTCTCTGGTGTATAAATAAATGCCCTGTAATTGTCTTTGCTAAAAGTGGAGGTAATGGTGTTGAAACAATAGACTCCATTGAAAAAATGAAATCCTGTAAAGTGATAAATGTGTAAGGTCAGCTGAACTATCTGAAGGTAAATCACTTTTCTTTCCTTAGCTACTGACATCCTTAAGCTGAGAAAGAAGACGTTGAGAAATTAACTCTGTGTGTTCCACAGAGGTAGGAAAAGACCTATAACAGGTATAGGATCACACCTGCCACTTCACTTAGCAGGAACCCCTCCATTACCCTGCCTCTTCCCTGGATTAGACAATTCCTAGCACAAAAATCTCCAAACTGTGTTCAGACATGCTCGACTCCTGTTAAGACTGTTTCACACAGATTGCTGGCAAGACTGATGAGGCCAATGTATTTCTGGCCAGCTTGTGGCCAAGGGGCTAATGCTTCACATTCCTTCTAAGGGGTTGGAGTCCTTTAAACAGGTAATGGGCAAAACTCCGCTTGTATACACAAAGAATTGCAGTATCAGTGGGCCCAAATTGTACTTGGAAGTTCCATCTGGAGAGGAGAAGGCTGACCAGGAGGTAATTACAGTTTAGGAGTGCTTTGACTACTTGTACAGCTCATACAGATTTGCCATAACAGGCAATGGTGGCCAGCAGCTTCCAATGGGCTGCACACATCATGTAACATCATCAGCAGTGGAGCACAGATTTAGCACTACAAAAATTAGTATCTTATTTCATACCAGTTTACACAATGTACTCATGCCACACTTTCTCCGTTTCTCCACAGTTTCCATTGTGCCTTCCAGCCATTCCTAATTTTAATCTCTCCCAGCTCCCTTCAATTTTATATGTACTTTACATATATAAAATACTACATGTGTTATATTTTGTGTATATATATATGTTACCTACATATCTATGCAGTACTACTGCTGTCCCAGGCAGCAGCATTATCCTGCTGTAAAGAAGTCTTCTTTCAAGGAGAGAAGAATGCAATTAAGTCAGCAACTCAAGGATCCTTATTGCACGTGTAGAAACACTGCACTTGTGATGGGAACATCAACCTCTGTGCCAACGACTGGGTACAAGCATAGAGGGCTTAGTTTGAAAGGGTTTTTGACTCTTTCTGTGCTTATATCCTCTTTCCTTTGAAGGCATGAGAATTTTTTCCATTAGAGCTTACTCTGTGAAGTTATTTTGGGAATAACCTCACAAGAAACTGAACAAAAATAAATATATAAACATTGAAAGAATAAAGAAAAAGCTGTTAATGCCAAGTGTGTAAGAACTTATATCCCTGCCAAAAAAAAAAAAAAACCCCAAAAAAAAAGAAAGAACTACTAGAAAGAAAAAACATTATGCTCTGATAATTCACATATTTTATGCCCTATTTCTTATGCAATGCATTTTCTTTACATCTCTGGTGTTTCCATTAGAAATATGATTCTCCTTCCCTGCCTTCTGCTCAGCTGGTATTTTGGTCATGACAGTTTTTCATCTTTAAGAACAAAGGAATTTTGTATTTTATATGGTCAGATTTTTGAAGTCCTATGACTTTTCTCTGAAAATGACAACATAAATGCTTGTATAAAAAGTACTAGCAATTGTTACAGGCAAAAAAAGAGTTTTCTTTCCTCAGCATCTGTCAGCTACAAAAGAAAAACCCGAAGGGATGCTCTCTATTTAAAATTCTCTATATTTTATCAACATAAAACAGTCAGAACTACTTTAACCTTTACAGGTCTATCCTTTTGTGATGTCCTGTTAGCTGTTGGTAACAGCAATGATATATTTGTTAAGGAGTTTCACAGATTTTTCTATTTTAGCTCATCACATTTTCTGATATTCAAGTTCAGTGTACATTCTTATGTTTGTCTGTGAGTTTACATTATTTGTATTTTTTTGAAAATATTTATTTATTGCCCTCACTCATCTCTGCATTAAACAGCCCCACATATAATGTTTCCTTGCATAAAAGACTCAAGAGATTTTCAGATTTGTTTCATCATCTGTTTTTGAAATAATTTTGTTTGCATTTTTTGAGATGGAGAGAAAAAAACAAAACACAATAGAAAATACAACTCTGATTTAAATAATGCTTGGATATTGTCAGAGTTATTTTCAGTGCTGCTTATAGATACCTTCCTTGATAAAGATCCTTTTATGCAGATGCTTTCTAAGTGCAGCAGGATTTGCCTTAGGGACCATGAGCATCTTTGACCCTTTGTTGCAGTTGAGGCAGAGAAAGTATTCCTTTCTAATACGTTCCTGAGAAGTATCTCTTTGTCTGCCTAGGAGTGAGTGTGTATTATTTTAGCAGTTCCATAATTTATTTTAAAACTCTCTGAATGTACTGTTCAACCTGAGGATTTGTCCTTCACCTCATCCTGTTATTTCAACAACTCTCCCTCTGATCCTTCCATCTCCTATCTGGGGGTAGAATAGAAATGGTGTATAGGGCTTTCTGGCATTTCTTTACTGTTTCTACCCTCTTCTCATAGCCTCATATTTTTAACAAAATACATTTATATACTTTTTTTAAAAAGTAATAAATGCAAAAATGTTGTTAAAACTGAAATCTAACAAATAATTGAAATGCTTCATTTTTTTCACCCAAAGACTGAAAGCTGAAGGTAAGGTGGTATTTCTATGAGAAAGGAAAAGCACATTATTTCTGTATCTTTGTAAAAAAATACTTCAATTGCCATAACATCATTTCTTAGACTAAAAAACTATGTATTTGTTCTGAGTATATAATAGTAATGTTTTCACACAGAGAAAATAAAATCCCATTACCTCTGTTTTCTGCTGACTTGGGGACATCTGTTATTAGGACAGGGATGGGTGACAGGAGATGACCACTCTTTCCTTGCAGAAAGGGAAAGACAGAGGTGTTAGCGGCTGCTGCATGTTCTTGTGGCCCTTGTCTGACCTCCCTTCCCTGGCCACCTGCCCTCTCTCCCTCCTTTCACACTCTCCAGCAGCAAGGCTCCCCCTGGGGTCTTCTGCACTTGGTGGAAAGCTGAAAAAAGCCATGCTTGGAAGAGACCCCTGCATGCTACCAATGCCCATGATGCTCTGAAGGTGGGTATTGAGGGGCAGAAGCACCTATTCTTAATAAATAAATATTCTTAAGTAAACTAAGACATAAATAAATGAATAAATAAATTATTGAGAAGCTAAATAAATGAAACAGCAATTTAAGCACCCTATTTAAGTCAAGGTATTCTTTTCACAAGGAATAGTGCTTTAAGGAAAGCAGAAGTCACTGGTACTTGTGAGCTTGCAAGCTGAGAGCTGCAAGCAAACTGCCTCTGTCATCATTTGAAAACATAATGCTGACAGATCTCTGACTTGGTACTAGCACTAAACAGGATTAACCACTCTGGCATCTCAGGTTTCATTGCACTGAAATGAAAATAAATGCTGTTCACACAAAGAATGGCATTTGTCATATTATTCATGCCTGTGTGGCCTCTCAGGGTGTACATGGTTGGTCACATCAAGCCAAACAATGCATGACTTGAAACTAAACTTTCAAGAGTGTTTAATGGTGTTATTATCAGTTAATTCTTCTTTTGGTTTTAGGGTACTAATTGAAAGAGATAACAACCTAGCGAGCATACTCTTGGCTTCAAAGAAAGCACCTTTTTGGTTTTACTCTTATGCAGCACATTTATTTAGCAGTTAGCCCTTTGCCCACCCAAGGCATCCCTATCACCCCCATTTCTCCCAGGGCATGCTCAGCACAGGGTGTAGCCCAAGCAGGATTTACACACCCATCACTCAGAGACATGATTCATTTGATTGTGGATTTGAGATTCTGTTGCCAACCAGGGTAGCTCCTTTCCATGGCTCCAGCAGGTTAAAGCTGCCACCCTGCTCCAAGGGTAGCCCAAGTGGGGCCAGCCTGTGCTAAATCCTGATGGCCCTCTCCCTCCCTTCACTTGCCAGCTGGGCTCCTCCTTGCTACCTTGCTTGCTCCTACCTTCATTCTGCCTGCCCCACGATCCGCAGAGCCAAGGGGCCACAGGAGGCTGGCAGGGAACTGTCAACAATAACTGGCAAATCCTATGGCAGAAGTGCTCAGTCCAGTAGCATCAGAGAAAATGGACTGGATTTTTTCCCCACCCCATCCGTGGGGTCCAAAGGCTGCATCTGAGAGAAAAATCACCTCTTAAGTGTATCTGTATGACTCTGCCAGATTGCCTAAAAATATTGGGAGACAACAGTGCATTTGCTTAAATTTTTCATTTTCTCAAAGCTTTCCCACAGCCAGAAGAGCTGGAGCTTTTTTTCAAGTGGGACTGAGTTGGGCAGTGATGCCCCCAGACAGCTGGATAAGCCCCAGCAGCAGGGAGATGGCAGGCTTTGCAACAGCTGCTGAATTCAAGGGTAGGGATTATTAGCACTTCATCTTGTTTGCTCTCACTCTTAGTGATGAGGGTGCTCTATTTTAATTGAATTTCCTTTCCACTTTCAAATTGCATCCAAAGGAGAAATGTCAGCACATTAAAGGAGACTTTGCTTTTGTTTGCCAAAATATGAACCCGGAGCCAGAATAGTTCCTCTCTGGCAATTATAAAAGCTCAAACATTTATTACTCTCCTGTTGGAGAGTACACTTTTAATACACCTTGGAGAAATTAATTCTTACCTAGACATGCAGAAAACCTAATGGCATTAAGAGAAAATGGGTAAGTTATGCCACCTTCTATCCTGTTTTGTGGAAACAATAATTAATCATTAATTTTACTACTGCAAAAGGAATTGGAATTTGGGTCAAATGAATTGCTAAAATATTTGCTGACATATCAGGATTGGTGGCAGGATGTTTATTAGAGCTTTTGCATTTGGATCTCTAATACAAATCAGTGATCTGAATCATTATGACCCAGAAGTAATAGTCTGGTTTCCTGGTGCTGTTACTTTATCTCAAATACCATGTTTAAATCAATTTCATAAAATGTTTTCTCCTATTTTTGGTATTAAAAATCTATTACATGCTTTTGTCCACAAGATTTTGGGAGTAAACATTTTTTCCTTCGTAGTTGTGCAGGAAGCACTCACTTAAAATAATAATAATAATAAAAAAAGTTCTATTTTCCCTTGCTGGGGCAATTTTAATCACTATTCATCCAGTGGTAAAAGATTAGCCATAGCTTAGGTCTGTCTTACATGAAATTGGTTTCTCACTACTTTTCCTTTAAAAATCAACTTTTAACTAATACTGCCAAATATTTTAACAGGTTGTGTGGTGAATATTCTGTTCCCATTTATTTCTGTGAGGTTCCTGTACCTCAAAGAAGTTATTTTCAGGTTTGCAGCTATGCAAATGAAATTAACATAACTTCTTTCAGGGCTACCAGCTCCTACATGCATGTCTAAACACCTTATGTATATACTGTAATATTATAGCATTAAATGAAACTGCTTTAGAATGCCTGAATGTTTTTACTTACTCTAGTCACAGTGAGTGTTCTTTACACTTGTCATCTGAAATTATTCCTGCTCTTAATCTACACAGTTTAAAAATTTCGAAGGAGGTGATGGCATTTTCTACAAGCCAGCAGAAAAGGAAAAGAAACATTAAAGAAGATGTTATTAAAAGCATATGTCATTGTCACACTTCAGGCCCTGAAGGACTTCTGAGGCTGTTCTGGAAAAGGCAAACTTCATTCTTGAGAAAGAACAAAATGTTAATTTGCTGTCAGATAAAAATCTACAGTATCTGTTGAATTCACATAACTGAATGCTAAGGCAGACCTCTTTAGGTCTAAATTGCAGCTTTCTTCAGCTAGTGAAACTGCACATCCTCTCAGATATCTGTGATATACTTAGTCACATAATCATATTGTGACAGCTTGAAAGGAGGAGGGCTCAGAAAATAGAAAAGCAGTTTAAAATTCTTATTGAAACGATTTATTTTTGGAAGACAGTGGCATGCATTTTGCAGAAACAATAAAATCCTTTCCCTGATGAAGCTGATATTTTCCAATGTCCTTAAACAAAGCTTACATTCATTGAATCATCTTGTTTGCAGGGACCATGGAGAGTGACTGAGTCCACTCTCTGCCTAAGGGCCACTCTACCTGTGCTAGTTCTGAAAGGTGGTACAAGCTCTTCTTGTAGGGTCTGAGGTTGGCAGCTGCACAAACACCTAGCCAGCTTCTTCCTATCCTTATAATTTTTGTTTTCTAATCTCTTGCTTTGTTTTAAATCTTGATCCATTCACTATGGAACTGGAGAACGAATTCATCCTTTTATCTTTATGGCACTTGCATATATTCATATCAATACTGCATACATAATGTATTTTTCTCCTTCTTCTGTTTTCTCCCTTTAATGTAAATTGTACGTTGTGGGTTGGTTTTAAGTCATGTATAGATACCTAATCATTCAGATTGTTCTTTTCTGCTCCTTCCATGGGCTATATATTTACTGAAGCCAAACAGAACATGGCTACTAAATTTTCCTAGGGCCATGTAAATAAGGCTCTTTCACAAAAGTCCATCTTTCTTTTTCTCAATTGTTTTATGTGGTTTAACTTTCTCATTGCAGCAGCTCTGTGATATCATCCTCTTTATAGATATTGTGATTCACATAAAAACAGAACTTCCTTTTTTTTTTTTTTGGTCACATAATTGCAGCTTTTTTCCCTGCAGAAGACGCAGTAGTTTCCCCTTTCCTGTTTGTATAGCTGATCGCATCTGCTGCTGCCCAGTAGCAGGCACTTATCTCCATTGAATAGAACCCTCCTTTTCCCAAACCAAACCACTAGTGTGCGAAAATCCTTCTAAACCCAACATCTGTCCTCCAGCATTCTAAAGACTCTCAGTTTGGTATAATCTCCAGTAATGTAAACATGTTTTCTGAACCATCGCTGAGTTCATTAACATCCTTCTGACAATGAGCTGCTTGTATGAGCTCCCTAAATAACTTCTTCTACATTGTTTTCCTTGTTTACTGAAAGAATATCATATGAGACCATGTCAAAAATCTTACTAAAGTGACATCCAACATGACCTTCAATGTTTCTCCTTCGCTGATGATTCCTCTTACTTTGTTGCGGGAGAGATTAGATTTGACATCTTTTGTTCTTGACAAAGCTGTGTTGGCTGTTACTTGTTGTGTTACAACTGCTTAAAGATAGCTTGTTTACTTGCTCCAGTATCTTTTCTGTGTACTGAGGTCAAACAGATTGATATATAATATCCTCCTTCCTTCTTTCTTTTTCAACAATAGAGCTTCTCCCCTTTTGTCCTGTAATATTCCTTCACTGTAAATTATCAATGATAACCATTAGTTTTCATCATCCAGTCCTTTAAATTCAGGTGATGGAAAAGCAGCAAATTGTGTTTGAATATTTTTTCACTCGGTCCTTTGTCAAATCTGAAATCTGTCTGTTTTTCCAATTATCAACAATGCCTAATATATATATATATGTAAAAATTAGGTACAAAAATATTAAAAAACTTGAATTTCTGTGTTGTCTATTAAAAACTTACCAGCTCTGCTTGATACAGGCATAATCATTTACTTGATTCTTTTCCATGTCTGGTAACGTACTTAAATATTTTATGTTACCCCAAATATCCCTTGCTAGTTGTGTCTCATTTTCTGCTGCCTTTTCTTACTTTACCCCTGCATGATCAGGCTCAGCTTTTGTAGTTCCTCCAAGTAACCTGACCCAACTTCTCTCTTCTGGATGCTTCATTCCTATTTGAGGCTCAGGAGGAGCTTGTGACAGCCAGGCTGATCTTTTAGTCTGCCTGTTGCATTTTCTGCATGGATAGTTCATTTACTTATACTCTTAGTGTTATTTCTTCGGGGAAGTGACAGTTCTTAAACATTTTTTTTGTCTGCATCAACCTCCCAGAACATCATGTTGGCTACTTATAGGAGTTCATGGGGACCTACTTCCATAAAATGTATTTTTTGTTGTGTTTTGATGTTGTTGCTTTTTTCTAAAATCACAGAATCTCCCTGGAAAAAAACTGTGAAGCCATACATTTATATATGTATACATATAGAAATATATGTACACATACGTACTTCTACATTCATGCAGAAGTATGTGTCTCTCTCTGTGAAGAACACTGAGAACTTAAAAAAATGCCTGGTTTTTCTGACCCAAATATTTCAGTTCAATAACTACAAAAGAAAATGAAAGATGATGGGCGAGTCACCAGAAAACAATCTTATCATTCTACTGGAAAGTAGAAGCAGTCAGGATTTCTTCTTCCTTTTCTAATAAGCCAGTAAAGAATAATTTTTTTTGTTTTACATCGGCTATAGCTTGTTTTACAAGCTATAGCTTGTAGGCGAAGGACTCACGTGAAAGCGTTATAGATCCATTTAACTCCTGGATTAGAAGATTATGTTAAAAGGTTTCTTCTATTCTGCTCTTTTAACTGCTGATGTATCTTGTAGACATTTATTCTTATGACTATTGTTTATTCTGCTTCATCGCATCAGGGGTCTAAGAAGCAGGATTATTGTTGGCTGGGCTTCCTGATTTCAGCCTTCAGGGAAAATTACAAGCAGGTATAGGACCGCACCAGTTCATGTTTGACAGCTCTGCAACAACAGCTGTAGAAACCAAGATATGGTGTCCCACTGGCTCCCAGGGAACAGATTCCTCAGAAGTTATATCTAGCACTGGCTTGGGTTTAAAGAATAGCTTTAAAATATGTTTTCATTTCCTCTTTGTCTCACGGGGATTTATTCTGTAACACTTGGCATGGTTTTGTATCCATTATTACAATCAACATTTTCCTGCAAAAGTTCAATATTACAGAAAGGGGAAAATATTTCAAATTAAAAGCAGCATTCATCTCCATTGGTGATGAGCATAACACACTTCACTATAAAGGTTTTCTGTAAGCATGTTTCAGTATTTCTTTCTCTACCTCTTGTGAATTTTAATTACTTGGATTAGCATATTTTTACTTGTTTCTTTTGTGTTGTCTAAATATGAAATATTTATAATAATGTCAAGGACTAATTTTCCTTGTTTCTAACAAGCCGTTTACTGCTTATGACAGTGCTTAAAATAAATAGCTAGTAGTAACTTGCAGTATATGCAGGATACCAAAGTGGGCTGTATGAATTTCACTGTCATACAGAGAAGTGTGAGGGGGGTTGGGTAGGTATTTGGGTAGATATTTGGGATTTCTTTTCTGTGGTTTGGGTTTGTTTTTTGTTTGTTTGTTTTTTTTCCCATTAAAAGAACTCACAGAATCTCACTCTCATGACCTTACCATAATTTAAAATTTAAAATTTCACTTCCAAGTGATGTTAAAAGAGTGAAGATGAAAATTGGGCACAAACTCCTCTGAATGCTGGTAGCATTTAAAGTATGATTTTTTACCAATTATGTTTATGCCCACACGCCTCTTGGGGTCGAAATTAAAACACTCAAAGCTTATAAAATCGGAATGCATCCTCCGAAAAAGCCATGGAAGAGCTTTTCCTATCATACAGTCCTTACAAGCGCGGATGTCTGTAAAATAATTGTGTGAAATTTCCCAAGTGGCTATGCACCGATTATAACGTGCATTATTACCCGTTATAAGTGGTTATATATAATTATACGCACATACCGTGATCACTCGAGCACGTACAATGCAGGGCACTATTCACCACGTGTACCCTGGCAGTGCCGGCACCACGGCATCGGGGCGGCTGCAGAGCACGGCACCGGCTGCCTCAGGTATCCCCTCAGAATCCCCTGCCATCGATCCCTCACGCCTTTTCCAGGCGTTCACTGCTCACACCGAAGTCTCCTACGCAAACACCTGCCAAGGGTTCATTTTTCCCCCTCACAAGGCGGTCCCGCTCCCCGGGCGCAGCAGCCCTCGCCAACCCTGACCTCCCGCCGCAGGTCCGGGTACAGCACGGGGACACTGACGGTGCGGGGAATGCCGGCGGGGCGCGGGAATGGTGGGGGTTGGGGGGATGGCGGCCGTGAGGAGATGGCGTGGGGGTCAGGGAT